GAGAGAGGAGGAAGGAGAGGGTAGGCCGGGTCGTCAGGAGTAGGCAGGGGTCGTGGAGGAGCGGCGGGGACTCGAGGCCAGCCACCACGTGGGGGCCTTTGGGGAGAAGGGCGGCTGATGGCGTGCTTGAGGCCGGCGCGTGCGCCGCGACCGCGCGGGGAGACTAGGAGGAGGTGGCCGTCGAGGCTCTGAGCGGCGGAGCTCCGGATCTCAGGGGCAGGAGCTGCGCAGGCGGCGCCCTCCCTCAAGCGATGGAGATAAGATGAAGAGGGGGTGAGCGAGATGGAGAGGAGAGAAAACAAGGAAGGGAGGGAGTCGCCGGATCTGCCCGCCCGCGCGCTCCTAGCCGTGCACCGCCGAGGGAGAGTGAGGGAGGGAGGGAGGGAGGTCATCGTACCTGCGCTGGATCTGAGCGGAGGAGGCCCAGCAAGGGAGCCCGCCGTGCACCGAGGATGAGGGAGAGAGGGAGGCCACTAGATCTGAGCTGAGGGAGGGAGGGACAGGGAGAAGGAGATGGAGAGAGATCTGCACGCGGGGAGGGAGAGATGGAGGATGGGGGAGGGAGGGAGGGCGCCGCCGTGCACCGAGGATGAGGGAGAGAGGGAGGCCACCGAATCTGAGCTGAGGGAGGGAGGGAGAGGGAGAGGGAGAGAGATCCGCACGGGGAGAGAGAGATGGACGACGCAGGGGTAGCCGTGGGAGGTGGCGGCGGCCATCGGCGTGCTCGTCCCCGAGGCGGATCCGGCTGGAGGCGGCGGCCGCGCACCCGCGCGTGGCAGGAGGAGGCAGGGGCAGCCCACGGGAGGTGGCGGTGGACGCCACCGAGGAGGATCCGGCCACGTGCAGCAAGAGGAGATAGGGTTAGGGGGAGCCAGGGAGGTGAGCTGGGGGCGCGGCCGCGCGGGGTTGGTAGGCCGGGCCGCCAGCGGGCCTCCGGCTCCAGAGCGGCCCATGTCGTGCCGGCCCACGTGCCTAGGGTAAGGCCCAGGCACAGCTTGCTCCTTCGGGCCGTGCCAGCCTGGGCCCGCTAGCCGCCGGGCCGGGCCGACGGGCTCGGGCTGCATGGCCATATATACCTACAGGTCCATGATATCAGCACCTATGCCGCCACCGACGTGAGGCCTCAACTGTCGCCAACCTGCCCACGTCAGGTTCTTGGTCACCCGACCGGCCGCGCAAGCCCGTGGCCGCCTGTCACACTAGGTCCACAGCGCGCGCCATCTTGGCTGCTTGCTTCGCGCACCCGATCGCAGAGGCCACATCGATCAACACATTGCCGGCCGCTGCCGACGCGAGGCTCCCACTGCTTGAGTAGTACTTTTCAACGAACAATGGTGTTTTTCTCTCGCAACAAATCAAGTACAAGCCAAATTTCAACGAAAGCGAACAGGGCGCGTCACGACTTCTAGAGTTGGGTGGTTAGAGGGTGTCGCGAAAACCACCTCTAGGACAAAAAATTGACCATGTGTAGGAGCGTCCATCCGCCTAATTCGATGATGATACATGTTAGGTAACATTTGGTTGGAAGTCAAAGTGGGGTGGGATGGTCCTAACTCGGTTTGTGGGACAGGGACGGCCCCATTCTCTGCTTGATTGGGGAGGATGTGACTAACCTGTTTTTGTTTGGAAACAAAAGTGGGATCGGCTTACGGCAGGCGGGGACCCAATTGTCGGTTTTTTTTCTCCTTTCTTTTCGCTCTCGCTCTCCTTATCTCCTCATCTCCAACCTTTGGCCTCACACGACGGGCACGGCCCACCTCGTCTCCTCCACCGGCACCTCCTTCCCAAATGAGCGGCGAAGCGTTGTAGTGGGCGGTCCTCGTGGCGGCGGCCGGTGGGGCTGGGGCTCGCCCACACGGCCGGCGGCTTCGGGGCCCCAGCTCGCCCGCGTGGCGGGGTCGCACAGTTGCGGGGCTCTAGCTCCCCCGCGTGAATGGGGCTCAACCGCGTGGCTGGCGGGGCGGGGCTCCAGCTTGCCCACGTGGCGAGGCCGGCGGTGGTGGGGCTCCAGCTTGCCCGCAGGACTGGGCCTTGACCGCACAGCCGGTGGCGGTGGGGCTCCGGCGCCGCGAGCTCGCCCGCGTGGCACGGCCGAACCGCCGGAGGTGGACCTGGCACTCGCCCGCGCCGGAGGTGGACCTTGTCTCTTCTCCTCCCCCACTGCCGGCGTCGTTCTTGCACGTGAAGCTCGCCCGCGTCCTAGGAGGGACCGCCCCCGTCCGTCGAAAAAAGTGGGACGCGGAGTCAAGGAATCTCGAGCGAATATGCCAGGTGCACATAACAGCACCAATCCTAGGTCCATCCCATCCCACCCCTAAAAATCCGACCAACCAAACACACGATTACAATGCGATGTGAAAAATCCAATGATTTTTTTTTTTTTTTTGCTAAATGTGATGAAATGCATTAAATTTCCAAATAACTGTTATTCTGTGGAGGAAGCAGCAAAAGACAAATACACAAACTACAGAGGCACACGTGCACGTGAGAAAGTAATTAAGCACAACACACATCACTTTTCATCATCACTCCTGTTTCTTGGGTGACTCGAGCGCGTCGACCGGCATGAACTCCGCGACCTTCTTCGCCGCTGGGCGCGCGGCAAGGCCCTCCCACCAGGCGTTGACGTGTGGCAATGCCTCGACCAGCGTGGCATACTCGGTAGCCATGAAGTAGTGCATGATGGTGAAGTGGTTGAGGTCCGCGAGGCTAAGGAAATCGCCGGCGAGGTACCTACTCTGGTTCAGCCGCGCCTCGTACACCTCTAGCACCTTCTTCAGCTTCTCCACGTTCTCATCGACAGTCGCCTGGTTGCGCTCGCGGCCGAGGAACGACGCGAAGATGCACTCCACCACGATGGCGATCGCCGCCGGGCTCAGCTGGTGGGCCTCCACTTCAAGCCATATGTCTACCATGGCCGCCTGCTCCAGGCTGCTGGTGCCCAAGAGCTCCGGCTTGTGCTTGCGCAGAACGTGCCTCGCAATCGCACGGGATTCTGAAAAATAATACATATCACACGTTTTAGAACTCGTAGAATCAAAGCAAAATACTACATCCGCTCTATATGTTCAAAAATAAGTGTATTATTAAAATATTGTTGAAAAAAATAATAAACTAATGTGACCATGTGGGTGTTGGCATATTTTTTATAAACTTACTCAAAGTTGAAGACTTAGGATAAAATTGTGAATTACTCCATCCGTCCAAAAATGTAAATCTCACATTGTAAAGATTTAAATAATCTTAAAAAAGTTAAATAATCTTAAATTTGACTAAATATATAAAAAAGAGTATTTATTATGTAAATATTAAAATATATTTCCAAATAAATCTATTTAAACAGTTTTTTTTTTTTTGACCGAGGGAGTATAATCTGGAAAGAATAAGGAGTAGATAGACACGCCCGATGGATGATGATGAACTTACCGAAGAGCGTGAGGTCGCCGTCCTCGAGCACCGGCACCTTCCCGAAAGGCTGCAGCAATTAAGCACAGGAGCGGCGTCAGTCGGGGCCGATGAGCGGAGTGAAAGTGAAACCAACAAGCAAATTCATGGTGGGTCGAGGGAGGGAGGCACGTACGTTCCTGGCGAGGTGCTCCGGGCGGTGGTGGTCGCCGGCCTGGCGGCTCATGGGGACGAGCTCGTAGTCGACGCCGGCCTCCTCGAGCGCCAGCAGAGCCCGCGACACGAACGGCGAGATAGCCCACCCGTACACCTTCACCGCCGGCGTAGCCATGGCTTTTCCTAGCACAGCGAGTGATTCCTTGTGTAATCTACGCGCAAGATCGATCCGACGATGCAGGATATATCAAAGATCAGCAGCTAGAAATGGATGGATGTGTGCAGCTTCTGCTGCCTGCTGCAGGCTGCTACTTATACAGCAGCGGGAGAGGAGAGGAGAGATCAGAGACGACGCTGGCTCTGGCGCTGCTGCTTGGGGGAGAGGAAGAAGAAGGTTTGGAAGAAGTGAATTCGTATTTGGTCGACGGGAGGGTGAACGCGTGACGTCGTCGCTTACGTACGCAGAGTCTCAGACTAGTCAGGTGCGAGCCCGTCACGTACTGGCAGTGGAAGGCAAACGGCTCCGTCGCCGAAAGGAAAATGATTTCTCACAGTTTCCTGGAAATTCCTATCTTCATTCGTATCAGCTCCTATCACAGTAAGTTACAAACATCCAAAAAGTAGAAAACTACCAGGATCTGCAACTGATTTATCTTAGCCTATATGCTGAAACGATAGTGTCAAGGCCAGACTGACAGCAACTTATGAAGCCTAGTGCACGTTGCTAAACGTGATTAAACCAATCTAATAACACAACAAAAGAACAACTTTTCGTGGGAAAAAACAGAAAAAAAAACAAAAGAACAACTTCCTCAAGTCATTTTTTAGGAACAAAACAACTTTTGCCGGATGTTTTTTTTTTCAATCGAGTAATTACTATCCGGATGAGTAATTCCTAGAGTCCGATCCTTTTGAGGAGCGTACTTCGTAGAGTATGATCCGGATTTTGTTCTAGCGTAGATTTTCTTTTCAGAGTCCGGCTAATCAGTTTTTTTTTAACGGCGATTTTTTTTACCAGAGTTTGGTTCTGCGGTGGATGATTCCTGTGGATGCTTTTAGGTGTAGAGAAGAGATAATTTCTAGTAATGAGTCAGGTCTCTTTATAAATTGATTTCCAGGTGTAGTTGGCAGGTGACTCATTTTTTAGATAGATAAAGACAGATGATTTCTAGAGTTGGTTGGTTAGAGGCTATCGCGAAAACCACATCTAGACAAAAAAAAAAAGACCGTGTGTAGTAGCGGCCATCTGTCTAATTCGATGACGACTTCTGTTACACAGCGATATGAAATCCAATGAAATATTTTTGCAAAATGTGATGAAATACATTAAATTTCCAAATAACTGTTATTCTGTGGAGGAAGCAACGAAAGACAAATACACCAACTACAGAGGCACCACGTAGTCACGTACACATGAGAAAGTAATTAAGCACAACGCATCACTTTTCATCATCACTCCTGTTTCTTGGGTGACTCGGGCGCGTCGACCGGCATGAACTCCGCGACCTTCTTCGCCGCTGGGCGCGCGGCAAGGCCCTCCCACCAGGCGTTGACGTGTGGCAATGCCTCGACCAGCGTGGCATACTCGTAGCCATGAAGTAGTGCATGATGGTGAAGTGGCTGAGGTCGGCGAGGCTAAGGAAATCGCCGGCAAGGTACTTGCTCTGGCTTAGCCGCGCCTCGTATACCTCCAGCACCTTCTTCAGCTTCTCCACGTTCTCGTCTACAGCCGCTTGGTTGTGCTCGCGGCTAAGGTACGACGCGAAGATGCAGTACACCACGACGATCGCCGCCGGGTGCAGCTGGTGGGCCTCCACCTCTAGCCACACGTCCACCATCGCCGCCTGCTCCAGGCTGCCGGTGCCCAAGAGCTCCGGCTTGTGCTTGCGCAGAACGTGCCTCGCGATCGCACGGGATTCTGAAAAATATACATATCAGACGCTTAGAACTCATAGAATCAAAGCAAAATAGTACCGCTCCTTTCTAAATTGTAGTTCACTTTTCATTTAACATCTGCTCCTATACGTTCAAAAATAAGTGTATTATTAAGATATTGATGAAAATTTAATAAAACTAATGTGACCATGCAGGTGTTGGCATAATTTTTTTTAATAAACTACCTAAAGTTGAAAAGGTTGACTAGGAAAAACTGTGAATTACTCCATCCGTCTGAAAAATGTAAATCTCACATCTCAAAGTTTTAAATAATCTTAAAAAAGAGTTAAATAATCTTAAATTTAACTAAATATATATTAAAAAATAATATTTATTATGTAAATATTACTAGATTAATCATGAAATATGTTTTTCATAATAAATCTATTTAAAGAGATTTCTTTTTTTTTACCAATGGAGTATAATTTGGAAAGAATAAGGAGTAGATATACGACACGCCCGATGGATGATTGATGAACTTACCGAAGATCGTGAGGTCGCCGTCCTCAAGCACCGGCACCTTCCCGAAAGCCTGCAGTAATTAAGCACAGGAGCAGCGTGTCAGTCGGCGAAGCGAGCGATGGCCGATGAGCGGAGTGTTGATATCGTAAGTGATCCGAATCAAACACCAACAGGGCCTTGGACGCCCGGGCCGCTACGGACCGAAGAACGCAGCGAGGATGTCACTCTTTCGCGGTGAAGAACGGAGAGGTTTACAAGCAAACCACCAAAGGATAATCAACGTGCTTACGTGACGAAGAACCGGCTAGTTTTCAGGCAAACTAGTAAAGAAACCGTAGAAGCTCTCGCCCGGGAGGGACCCCGTCAGGGCAAAGACGTCGCCGGGTTGCCCTAGGTCAGCCGGCAAGCCTAGGGCGCCATCCTTGGTCGTTGGATCAAGAGATGAACAGCATGGGGGTTCGAGGAGAGAGTAAAAGGGTTGGAGTAGAGGCAGTAGATTGATTTGTTTGTCGATTGGATAGATGGGAACCCAATCAGCCATGATCCTCTCATATATATAGAGGGGGTGGCCTTATCCTAGTACGAAACCTCTCCAAGCCTTATTTTCTAAGTTTCCCACGAGTTTAGAACAGTTCGGATTGGAATCCAAAAGGCCAGATCCGAACATAGTTTTTTTCTCCACAGTCAGAACTCCCGACGTGGGGATAACCCCAGACTCCGGAGCAGGTTTCTTTAGGCTTTCCGGAAGTCCCGACACCTATCGGAACTTCCGACAGTCGGAAGTACTGACTTGGGTTAGAACTCCCGACAACGGAGCATCTTTCCGGGGGCGTAACTCCTTTATCCAAACTCCGAATTAGACGTTCCATATACGTTTTTTTGACTGTCTCAACGAGAGGAATGCAATGGTGATGTCTGTTCCACATTTTGACAACTTCACAAAATGGAAAATTTTGGTTATCAACATATGCCCCCCTGTTTTCAGCTGAATGATGCATGAACCTGAAAACACCTGTCAAAACAAAACCAAACAGTGATGATACCCATCTCATCGGCTACTCAGTGGCTAAGGGCGATGTATACTTCGGCTATTTTTGTTCTAAGAGCGATACATGTTTCGGCCATTGTTTGGAAAGCACTTAGACTTTTTGCTAAACACTTGGAGAGTACTTTTTCAAATACCTCCCGTGTATTCCTCTTGTGAGACGTTCACCTTGCAATGTCTCTAGTATATAAGAATTTCCGAATATGATTTTGATCACTTTGTAAGAACCCTCCCAACTTGGTGGCCACTTGCTAAACTGAGTGCTCTTCGATCCAATTGGTAGTATGGTTTTCCACACTAATTCTCCCACTTAGAAGGATTTACTCTTGACTTTCTTGTTGTATGCCTTGGCAACTCGAGCTTTGTCTTTCTCTATTTTCTTGAGAGCTTTTAATCTTACATCAGTCACCTCATCGATATTATCCATCATCAAATCATGATACATAACAGCAGATAAATCATTTTGTTTAGCAAGCTTGTATGCATCCAAATTTACTTCGACAGGCAACACGGCCTCTTGATCATATACCAACTCAAAAGGAGTAACTTTTGTGGCACCATGCCTTGAAATGCGATGTGCCCATAGAGCTTCAGACAAAACTTCATGCCACCTCCTTGGATTTTTCTCAATCTTCTTTTTGATAAGCTTGATCAAAGTCTTATTACTAGACTCAGCCTGTCCATTAGCTTGAGCATAGTATGGAGATGAATTGAGCCACTTAATCTTATATAATTCGGCAAACTCCATCACCTCCTTAGACACAAATAATGTCCCTTGATCTGTAGTTAATATTTGAGGGATGCCGAATCTATGGATGATATGCTCAGTGATGAACTCAATTACCTCCTTGTGTGTCATATTCTTCAAAGGAACTGCCTCGGTCGACTTAGTGAAGTAATCCGTAGCAACCAACACAAATCAGTGTCCCTTTGAAGATGGTGGATGAATTTGGCCAATGAAGTCTAGCTCCCAACCATGAAAAGGCCATGGTTTGGTGATAGGATGAAGCATAGCAGCAGACACAAGCTGAATATTTCCAAACTTCTGGCACTCTTCGCGACCTTTGTAGTAACGAAAACAATCGGCCATCATAGTAGGCCAATAGAATCCGGCTCTACGCAATAACCACTTCATTTTTGGGGCCAATTGATGCGTACCACAGATGCCTTCATGGACTTCTCCCATAGCCACTCTTGCTTGATCAGATCCTAAGCACTTGAACAACAAATCTTCGGTGGTTCTCCGATAGAGCTCATCATTATGCAACACATATTTGAAAGCGCTCCGCCGAACACCTTTATCAATCCTAGCACTTGGATCACTTAGATATCTCAACAAGGGAGTCCTCCAATCTTCTGAATCGGCCCCAATATCATTGGAAGTAACATTGGGCTGATTTGGGAGCTTCTCGAGTGAATTGACTAGGCTAGTCACAGGGGAGTGGGCTTAGCCGACTTGGTGGAGTCGGCCTAGCCGACTGGGCTACAACAGAGAGGGAATTGGCTAAGCCGCCTAGGGTAGTCGGCTTAGCCGACTTGGGTGTACCTGCATGGGAAAATTTTAGATTTTCATGCATCGGCTGTTCTTGAATATGAAAATTACGCCCACCGGCATCATAGCTAGATGCATGTTGAGCTAACATGTTGGCCTTTTGATTTTCATGCCTCGAAATATGTCGAATTCGGAATTCGGTAAAATAGTCAATAATATCAAGGCAAGAATCAAGACAAGTTCTTAGTGACCCTTCTAAACATTGAAATTTACCAGCAACTTGCTGTATCACCAGCAAGGAATCACAATAGGCTTCAACATGTTATACCCCATGGATTACAATATGGCCAAGCCGAATAAGAAAACTTCACATTCGGCTCAAATGTTGGTGCAGATATAATTTTAATCGGCTTGATGTCTCCAATAGCACCATTGTGAGAAATAATGATTATGCCAACACCTTGGCCTTATTTGCAAGCCGATTAATCATATTGTCACATCCATAAAGTAAATCAAAATGCATATATCATGCCTCCTGGTCCTTAAAGCCATCAAAGTAAACTCCATGGGGGCTTTTTAATAGCACGATGGTCGCAAGCATTCATCGACTATATTTCTATGCTAAGGGCGATATCAAAATATTGGCCATATGAATTCATCCACACGAGCATGTATAAATATTTCGGCTCTTGATCATCGATAATCAAAATAATTTGGCAACCCTCCATAACATAAACATCCAAACCAGGGATCAAAATAAGGAGCTGAGGGATAACCATGCATATCAGGGGATGAATTCCACATAGGTATAGGCAGAGAGTATGGATGATGCCATGACCAATTATTTTGATGATTTGGTGCAAACCTCCAACTTGGTAATTGTTTCTTCAATCTCCTCTACTTTGCTTTTTTTGCATCACTTGCTTGAACATCATCCTTCTAAGCTTGAATACTTCCTTTAGGAACCCATGCCAAGCCTTTTCCTTTCAGCTTCTCTACACTAAGCTTCTGTAACTTCTTCTCTTGCCACTTTGGTAAACCGATTGAGCATATTGGTTTTATTTCTGTTTTGGACAACGGCAAATCTTTCTTAATTTTTGGCACTCTCACCTTCTTTTGTTCAGATTTGGCACCTAGAATATCAATAGATGATTTCCCCACTTCTTTGTCATCAATAGCTGAATTTTTCAGCAATGTAATGGGCTTTTCAATAGTTGAATTCAGATCTAAACTTTTCTTCTTCCGGCCGTCATACTTCACGCAGTAAACTTGCTTTACCACTTTCTTCTTCGGTTGAGCTCCAGACCAATTTTGATCAAAATGGTCTTTACAAGATGATGATCTCTTTGAATGTCTAGGAGTTGCATACTCTATGTATTGTGGCCTAAAATATGATGGAACATATGCCTCTTGATCAAACCAGCCCCAATATGAATAAGGATACAAATATGTGGGTTGTAGTCCGTATGACATGAAAATTGGCTGTTCAAAAGGAGAATATATTGCTGCTATGTGAGATCTATCTCCTTGCCAATTTCACTCTTTAGACTTGTGCTTTGGATGCAATTTTGATGATTGGACTTTCTTTGGCAGATTGGTGATATTTGCTTCTGCTATCTTCTTGTATTTAGCTAGAAGTTACTCGAAGTTGAGCTTCGGCCTTCTACTCTTCTTCTTGTCATGGCCTTTACCTCCAATAGCTTTGTGAGCATCCTCCTTCCCTTCCCCATTTTGATAGACATGATCCAAAGGAGGATTCTTAGCTGATTCCCCTTGTTCAATGGGATCAATCGACTTTTGCTTCAGTCGAAAAGATTTCACATGCCCCCAGTGTCTTCTGGAATTGTGATAACTTTGCTATCCTCTGGAATATCTTGTATTTTCAATTCATGGACAACAACCTT